AATCGCGTGTTTAAAAGTGCGCGTATAACATAAAGTCCAGTTTCGTCGCGTTCGGGAGTGCCGTTTAGACAATCGAACCAAAGACTTTTCAAAGCCCATTTGAGGAACGAGTATTCGTTAAATGTCCGTTCCTGTCGATGGCCACACTTCAGTTTTTCGGGTGTAATACTCGCCGACTCGAAGTGGAGGCGAACTTGACGGAACAAAATACGTATTTTCACATGGGCTTTGCATACGGTAGTGTACAATCGCGCGAACGTTCTTTGTGTTTTCGCGAGTGTGCCAGAAGACAATCCGAGTGGAGGAGGAGGCCGGGGGAAGGCATCGTGCGCCGGCGGAGCAACTTTACGGTAAAGATTTTTCATTTATTGCAAAATTAATATCTTTTCCAGTATATTTTTTAGTCATTTTATTTCATAATTCTATAATTTCGGAATAATAATTAGAGAACAAGAAACAATTTGAAATGTTATAAAAGTTTATTCTCGTGAAGATCTTTTGCGGAAAATCGCGCATTAATCATTTAAACATACAACCAAATAAAATGTTTGATACGCATAAGAATTCCTTATATTTTACAATATTTATTTTCTTAAACAATGCTTTAATAAATTCTACTTTTGAATGTTACAGACTCAACGTGGCAGTACCATAAACTCCGCTGCTGCGCATCGGGTGGTAAGTCGAAAACTTTTTCATTCAGGCAACGAATCTACATCTCGTAGATCGTAGATTGTAGTTCGTAGATCGTAGATTGGTATATCTCGTAGATTCGTTGCCATATAATGGATAGAGTACAACATAATTTTATTTTTATATATTTTATTTATCGAAAGAGAGTGATCGCGTTTGTCACTGTGGAGAGTTGGGTGCCCCGTTGCAGCACCTCACATATTTTCACGCAAAATATGACGAATATAATTGATGTATTCGTCAAGCAAATTTCTTGTAGCCTATCCATTTTTTATTAACAAATTTATATGTGATGTAAATATGACGTGAGACTCTAATATTTTGTTGAGAACGCTGAAACTTTGTATTATTTTTATACATTATTTGCAATTATTGATTAACTAGAATATTCAATTGTCGGTCTATCTATCGTACGGAAAGTTTCTTTTCTCTGGGTCTCACGTCATTTATTCTGTATATGTATTTCGCGATACACTTTCACGATGCGTCTCGCATGAATACGTGCGTAGTTAAACGCATCTTCGTATTTTCGCGGTCGGTCTTCGCGATCAGATTTTCAGAAAATGTTCAAGAGGTTATTAATTGCTTGATTTCATTCATATTATAAATTTTAATTTACCGCGAAATGCAATTGAAATAAATATAACGCGAAGTAAATTATTTTTTTCTATATACATACATATATACTTGAATTTCGAATTTGGAGATTGAGTCACGGAGAGACAGTCATTATCTATTCTTGAGTAAATAACGGAGGTAAAAATATATTTGATTAGTTTTATGCAGCAAATTTTTTAAATTAATTTTCTTTAATTAACTTCTCGTGATCGTGCATTTCAATACAATCGACGCTCGCATATAGTTCGAACCGTACGAAATATCTATCGGTGACGATAATAAACCGACTATGGAAGGAATTTTCTTTCTTCCTGATCTCTGGTCAAAATGACCAGACTGTATGGCCAGGAGCAACGAAAGGTATGTCCAATCTGGCCCAACGAAGGGATACGACGAGATTAGTGGTCAATATTGATGGAGTACTATAAGTAAGGTGATCTACGAAATAAGTTGATTTCTTTTTATTTGTCAAAATTCGGGTGGGTTATATTCTATTCTTCTTTACATATTCTCGCATATGTGCGAGATTAAAAAGACTTATATTAAATCCCTATTAAATCGCGCGCATATAAGCCCAAATCGGACCTCTTGTAAATCGCGCCGCGGTTTTAACGAAAGACTTGTAGATTTATTAACAAAAAGTTGAAACGCGGGTAGGCAGGAAAATTTATAGGAGTATATTTGTATTTATTTTACGACCAATATTGGCGTTATATTGAGAAAATATTGGCCAATGCACTCCCAACATAACCGATGTTTATCCAATGTTAGCCAATAAATTATGCTACTATATAGGGAGGCGTTTATGCGCAAAGGCAAGGCCTGACGCGATTTGTGGAGGTTTAAATAATATATAAAGTAACTATTGAATTAGCTACTGGTTCGTCGAAAACATGTAACTGAGACAAGACAGTTACAGATGGAGAGAAAGTAACGAAGTTAAGTTATAGTTACCAAAAAGAAGTAACTGTAACTGTAACTTCGTTAAGGCCTTCATACATAAAATTCCGTAAGGACGTAAAATGTATACATAAGAAAATCGACCAATCACGGTCGAGAACGTAAGGCAATAACGCAAGCAGTAGCAAATCCAATCTGTTGATTTTCTTACGCTTACGTTTTACGTCCATACGGAATTTTATGTGTGAAGGCCTTTACGAGTAACGAGGTACGTCCCAATTCTGGCAATGACCGACGGTGCGCAACGACTTACCGTTTAAGTTTCCAAGTCCACAGATTCTCCGACTGAGGGTGTGTCATACACCGCCGAAGGAAAACTTGTACAGAACTGTAAACGTAGTCTTTGTACTATAA